CACTGCCTCACTCCCGGATTCCCATCCCAACTCCTCCTCTGGGAGACCCACAGGACAAAAAGAGTCTACAAATCCTCTGCCATCTTAAAAACCAGGGCTGGAGGGTTGAGTTTTCTTTCTGTTTTTATTTGCTGCGTGACAGCCTAGGCCATCTGGCCAGCAGGCATCAGGGTGAGAAGTGTGGACATACGCATTACTGCCTATGTGAACAACCCAATGGTCCATGCAGAAGCAACGAATGAAGGAGCACTAATAAAACTAGTCACGAGAAAATGCTGGTTCTTGCTTCGTGTACCTGCCTTTTATACTTGTTGATGTACACAAACAAGTTTGGAAACTATGTTAAACTAACCTCATGATCTGATCTTTAAAGCCATCTCACTCAGATCAGGACAGCCTAGTGCAGACGTGAGAAAGAGCAGGGGAGAAAACTATCCTACGCTAGCCTACTGCAGAGTACATATTTCTTGTTCTGAAGGACCTGGTATTGTTATGCTGGAGACAACAGATGGAACTAGAACAGCCTCCAGTCTGAAGCAGTTTCATAATTCTTTAACTTCTATATTCTCATTAAAAATAACAGTAATTTCTTTCTATGTTACAGGTCTAGCCCCAAATTCCTTGGGTACTCAAAATAACTAATTGTTTCATGAGATGTTTTGCTTCATAGAAATGCCATTGCCTGAAGCTTGAACATACAGTTAGGATACTTCAGATTTTTCTTTATCTCTCAATTTCTGTATCTATAATAGCTGCGTTTGCATCAGCAATGGAGATGTCTGGTAGGAATCTGGGAAGAGAGGATCCCCCCGCCATTAACTACCCTTTTTAGGTATCACCCATACAATAAAAAAATGCTACTCCTCTTTTTCTCCCCTGTTTTCCTCCATATATCTTTTTCTGTATTTCACATGCATATGCAGCAGGAGATGAATTTCTTCATCTTCTGCATAAATGAAAACTGATGCCTATAACATTTGTTTTGGAGAAATATATATTAAATTCCAGTTATCTGCAGGGATACAGGACACAGATTTCAGTAAGCTAATGAGATACTGGAAGCTGTTTGCCAGCTATGATTATCTAGCAGAAAAAAAGGAACCAGCTTAGAAATATCTGACAGGCTTGTTTAAAAAAGAGAGAATACTCAGGAAGCCTGCTACAACGGATATAGGAACTTTAAAAAACTCTTTTTGAGTCTAAATAGGCATTCAAGTGGTCTGCATACTAAAGTACTAAAGCTTACTTTAAAGAGAAAAAAAAACACTTCTCCCACGCTCTCATCTCTATACTTCTAATGAAATAACTAAAACACAGTGGCAACTTATGATCAACTCAATTCTCATGTGTCCCTTGTTCCTGTGGCACATATTCAGTGTGATTCAGTTCATCCAACCAGGTGACTGGGGATGTCACCATACATTGTGACACGTGCTGTATATTTTAGGATGAGCCTGACCTCCTTTTATTTCTGTTCCTATCTCCTTACATGCTTGCCAAAGAAGCACAGTTCACAAACATTCAAAAGCAGCAAGAAATAAAAACAAGGGGATTCAATGAAAGAAGTATACAAGGGGAAAGACTAAGAGAGAACACCACCAAATATAAGCAGAACTTTCCAAGATTTCTCTTGAGGTTGTAATTCCCTGTTACATTACCTAGAATAGCTATTAAGGCCTCCATGCTTCATGATACAGACCAACCAGCAGCATTCCTTGCTTAGGAAGAAATGTCATCCCCACTGGCCTATCAGCACCAATTGTAGCTGCTTTTACTCTTACATTGAAGCATTTGTGTTGGCCACTGCTGGAGATGAGTCAACAACCACTGGCTCCTAAAAGGCAACATCTGCTGCTATCTTGTCTGATTATAATTAAGTATCTCAATTTTATGGGTACTGCTGGCCCTGGCAGGACAGACAAATCAAAACCTGCAAACTTTCCCCTCTACTAACGAAGAGTCCCAGAACCTCTTTTTCAAGAGCAAATAGTCAAATCCTTTCTTTGAACAAAGATGACTGAGCTTACAGTAGATGACAGCTACTTAGAGTAGCTCCTTGGAGCTACTCAGTAACTTCCCATTGTGGCTCTAAGACACTTAATTTTCCTCAAACCTAGACTCTTAATCAATCGTATTATATACTACAAACATCAACCAACATAATCAGAGCCAAGACAGAATACATTCTTTGCACATTTCCCCCCAGCAAGTATTGTCAAAGCTGAGACATTAACAGTCTGCTAATTTGCCAATAATTTATACAGAGACACCACTAAAATGTGCTTAATCCTCAAAGAGATTCAGTTGCTTGACTCCAGAGTTCAAAGAAAAGCATGCAAATGCAGCAATAAAATGCATTCCGTTTAATCAAGTGAACACATAACAGACTGATTCACATTGTTTTATGGCATCAAATAATAGTTTCTGATGTGATTCCATGTGGGAGAGAAGGGGGAGGTTGCTGTAAGTATATTTTGGCAGAGTACTAGAAGAGGTCACAGGCAGCTGATTTCTTAATGAAGGCTTCCAAAATTTGCCTTTTATGGAAAAATGGAAATGTCCCCTCTCTACCATATCTTTAACAGAAGTCAGCTAAAATATGCCAGTTTTAACTTGCTTAATTGGTGGAAAATGTAGTTTTCTTATTTTAAGGTAAATAGGCTACAGTATTGGTTTGTATCCCGCTATGTTAGCACTGCACCAGATATGCTGTTAGGTTGCCTGGAAGAATTTTCAACAATATCATGACAAACCATTTGGAAGCAGAGCTGAGAAGGGTCATACAGCAAAGTCTGTCAGAGCTGACAAAAAATGTCCACTCTCTACTTTATTTGGAAAATAAAAGGGAAACAGAAGGGAACCAAACAAACCCTCTGTGGTATTAAGTCAAATTAAATATAGTTCATAAAAATTAAGGCATTTTGACGTTACAGAGATATGGGTCCAATGATGAAAGAAGAAATGGTGTTCTGGAGAATGAACTGTAATTATGGCTTGGAAAAAAAATGGAGAAAGAAGGGAAAAAAACAAAGGAGATGTAGACAGATGCCAATTGATGCAGTGAAAAGCTCTAGCCACCACTGCAGACCTGCAATGTTCAGGAAAGGCTGCAGTTCCACCAAACACCTCAAGTCCAAAATTTCAAATATATTTTCACTTTATTTTATGAATTCCCATCAGATATATATCTTTGATGCTACAGCACACCAGCTGAATAAAAATCAACAACATAAAAACCCTCTTCATAAAAGATCCAAGAAGTGAAATCCCAAAGCCATTTACTCTGTGAGCATATCATCTTTGACAACCATATATAAATGACAACATGACAACAAATACAATGTACAATAATAAGTGTGCAATGGTACAAAATATACAAAAAGGAATGTGTATTTAATATACATTCAACAATACCCCATAAAAATCTTTGTTGGGAACGTGAAGTGCCTTTTCAAGAACAACAAAAAATGTACACCACTTCAGTTAAGATGCCTGAAGTATCTCCATCAAAAGAATAAGATGTGTTCTTTGATTGGAGATATAAAATAACTGAGCTGAATTTTCCCTAAAGAAAAAAGAAATCTAAACTTCATAAAATTTTTGTCCACATCTATAGTATAATAAAATATTTAGAGTGCAGAAAATTCAGTTTAATTTAAATTTTACTTAAAAGTGGGCCCTCTTTTATTGATAGATCTAGCTCAGTCATATAAAATCAAAAATCTATATTCCTTATAGTAAAAAGACCATTTCTGCCCATCTGTCTTTTCTGGTTTTGATGCATTCCACAATTCACATAATTTTGCTATAATGGAAATATGAGTCTGACCGGAGGTCAATACAAGAATCGTTCCTCATTTTCTCCTGGCTCTATACAAGTCTTGCATAATTTTACTCAAATATTTTTTGCCTAAGTTTCAGATTCCTTTGAGTTCAACCTCAATGGGAATTTCAGGAAATTATTACAGTGGATATTATGAAGATCACATACTTATAATGTGGCTGATTTTATGAAAAAGTCCACCTAGCCTCCAGTTTTCAAGGCACCATTTTGTGCCCTTCTTCCAAAGCAGGTACTTGCATTGACAGCAGAAAGAATTTAGATGCTGAGCTGCACAAGTACATAACCCATGCTCAGCTCTGCTGGGCATCCGTCCTCATTCCTTGCATGGGTCCAGGAATAAAGGTGGCTGAGTATTTCTAATAAGCCTCCCAACTGACAAAGCTGATCCCTGATTTCCAGAAGTAGAGATTCTTGCTTTACTTCCAGAGTTCAGGCTTTGTTGGTTTGCAGCTCAGGGAAAGGTGACATACTGGCAGCCCAAGTAAGGGTACTGAAACTGCCAACAACCTCTCTTGAAAGGACAAGCTTCCACAGAGAGGGACAAGTGCAACTTGCACTGCGGGTATCACTTTCTTTCTCTTTATAGAGTTTGAGCCTGCTACCGCCTATAAACTCATGGGCCCTGACCTACAATTCATGTAACAGCAGTTAACACATTTAAATTTAATAGCACCAGGTTTTACCCCAACCCTGATGGCCATAACTTAGGCTTCAGAATGGGTTCAACTTGCAGGTGCAACACCATGCCTCTTGTATTAGAGGCCAACACAGACCATCCAGCCCTTCAAAGCATTAAAATCAAAAGTATTTTCCAAAGTTCAAAACTCACCTGAGGCTCATTCTGAGTACCATTCACAATTTTGATTTTAAGAGAGACTCATAGTTATGCGACTAAAGGACAACACACAACCTTTGCAGGAGGTTTCAGGCCTCTCTGAAAATCATTTCTTATGAATATGTGTAGAAGGAGTGATAGGAAATGAAAGGTACCTATAAATCATATGGCATGCCTGAGTGATGCCCAGGTGAATGCAAAAAATGCATGTTATTTGCAGTATGTATATCTCTTCCTGAGTTGAATTTCATTCCCAGTATGGAATCCAAGTGTCTGCTTTCTTTTTTGGCAAGGTACTCAATCACATGGTAAGGCAATCCAATTTTCTGGTTTGCTTCCTGTCTTCTTTCCTCCTAAATGGCCAAGCATTTCTCACCAAGATCACCACTACAATGTGTGCCAGAATATGTTTAAAATATGGTCCTGTAAAAATAGAAATTAGGTTTGTTTCTTTGAAGGCAGCATTAATTCTTCATATATTCTGGGATCTTGAAGATTTCAGCTGAACAGATTCAAAATGATCTTCCTTTTCCTGCAATGGAAAAGACAGGTTCCCATCAACTGGGATTCCTCAAATTCACTCCAACGGTTCGTACAGTCACTTTTTCTCTTAATATCTCCAGAGCAGCCCTTGCCAAAGACTTTACTTTATTTCTACCACAGTCATTAAGTGTACAGTTTGACCCTTTGTTATTTAATAACACTACTTATTCAGTAAAAATTTGCAAAATCAATAATATATATATATCTTGTTCACAGTACTTACTTTAGAGGGTACAGGGAAAGTTTGCATTTCATACTCATAGTATAGGACAGGTAGTTAGAGCTGGTGAATTGCAAGGTAACCATATCTATGGTTATTATTACTTATTAATGTGTTTCCTACAATAAATAAAATGTTTGGAGCAAAGTCTGTGAATGTGAACACCACTGCCTCACTCCCGGATTCCCATCCCAACTCCTCCTCTGGGAGACCCACAGGACAAAAAGAGTCTACAAATCCTCTGCCATCTTAAAAACCAGGGCTGGAGGGTTGAGTTTTCTTTCTGTTTTTATTTGCTGCGTGACAGCCTAGGCCATCTGGCCAGCAGGCATCAGGGTGAGAAGTGTGGACATACGCATTACTGCCTATGTGAACAACCCAATGGTCCATGCAGAAGCAACGAATGAAGGAGCACTAATAAAACTAGTCACGAGAAAATGCTGGTTCTTGCTTCGTGTACCTGCCTTTTATACTTGTTGATGTACACAAACAAGTTTGGAAACTATGTTAAACTAACCTCATGATCTGATCTTTAAAGCCATCTCACTCAGATCAGGACATCCTAGTGCAGACGTGAGAAAGAGCAGGGGAGAAAACTATCCTACGCTAGCCTACTGCAGAGTACATATTTCTTGTTCTGAAGGACCTGGTATTGTTATGCTGGAGACAACAGATGGAACTAGAACAGCCTCCAGTCTGAAGCAGTTTCATAATTCTTTAACTTCTATATTCTCATTAAAAATAACAGTAATTTCTTTCTATGTTACAGGTCTAGCCCCAAATTCCTTGGGTACTCAAAATAACTAATACTTTCATGAGATGTTTTGCATCATAGAAATGCCATTGCCTGAAGCTTGAACATACAGTTAGGATACTTCAGATTTTTCTTTATCTCTCAATTTCTGTATCTATAATAGCTGCGTTTGCATCAGCAATGGAGATGTCTGGTAGGAATCTGGGAAGAGAGGATCCCCCCGCCATTAACTACCCTTTTTAGGTATCACCCATACAATAAAAAAATGCTACTCCTCTTTTTCTCCCCTGTTTTCCTCCATATATCTTTTTCTGTATTTCACATGCATATGCAGCAGGAGATGAATTTCTTCATCTTCTGCATAAATGAAAACTGATGCCTATAACATTTGTTTTGGAGAAATATATATTAAATTCCAGTTATCTGCAGGGATACAGGACACAGATTTCAGTAAGCTAATGAGATACTGGAAGCTGTTTGCCAGCTATGATTATCTAGCAGAAAAAAAGGAACCAGCTTAGAAATATCTGACAGGCTTGTTTAAAAAAGAGAGAATACTCAGGAAGCCTGCTACAACGGATATAGGAACTTTAAAAAACTCTTTTTGAGTCCAAATAGGCATTCAAGTGGTCTGCATACTAAAGTACTAAAGCTTACTTTAAAGAGAAAAAAAACCACTTCTCCCACGCTCTCATCTCTATACTTCTAATCAGGAAGGAGCCAGTGGTTGGTGCTGCAAATGGAGTCAGCAAAGTTTTTACAGTTATCAGGCGTACAGCAAAACATGATCCTCACCAGCAGCACTGGTCACTATGCTCAGCCACAGCCGGCCAAGCCATTTCACAGACAAAAAAACATCATCAGTATTTCAAAGTCAGTCCCTATAGGATTCAAAATGGAATCAACTTCCATTTTTGCAACACCACCACAAAATTTGATGTGATTTGATTTTATTTACATTTTCAATATTCTTAATATTGAATTAAGAATTAATATTGAATTTCTGCCCCTTTCCACAAGGAACAATATTGATTTTGCAAGACAAATAGTCAGGCTGGGGTCAAGGGGAAGTTCTGCATAGTAGCTGTGTAATGGTAACATCTCCTAGGAGGGAGATCTGGGGAGCAGGTAGCGTGGAAAGAGGACAGCAGTCTAATAAAAAAAGTAAAAGAACAAAGAGAAGAGAAAAATAAGGGAAAAGAAAGGAGGCACACAGTTTTTAATTACATTAAATTACATTACATTGCACTCAGTCACAGAAAGGAAAAAAGGAATAAATGAAAAAAATCTTAACATTCAACATTCTCGAATATTATTTGGACAAGAAAGAAGAGAGAGACTTTTCCAAAAAAAATTTATTGTGATATTTTAAGAAACCTTCTTATTTTGAAACAACCCTCTTCAGCAAAACTGTTTGAAAGGGAAAATGTCATCCACCTGTATCCTGATCATAATAGATGCCCCAGCTGGACTCCCTTAAAGACAACACTACCCTTTCCATTGACTTCAAGGCATTTGGAATAAAGACCAAAGTGTTTGCGGGATCTACCATGACGGTCCTCTGTTGCTCTTCTCAGAAATGTTCAAAGGACACCGAAGACCTTTGTGCTATGAATTCAGACATGCAACAACCCACATCACATGTGCTGCAGAAAAAAATGCTTTTTGCTGCTGCTTCCCACTGAAATGGAGGAGGTGGTTGTATCGGGTAACAGGCTGTGGCTGATGCTTCCTCTTCAACCAAACCCTACAGTACTCAAAATTATGGTTCTCAAGTCAGCCATGAAGCCAGCCCAGGTAAGCTGCAAGCAGTTGGCTAGTGGCTATGTTCCCAATGTTAATTTTCTGTATCTATAATAGCTGTGATTGCCTCAGCAATGGAGGTGTCTGGTAGGAATCTGGGAAGAGAGGATCCCCTCGCCATTAACTACCCTTTTTAGGTATCACCCATACAATAAAGAATGCTACTGAAATCTCTCTGCAGAACAGGGAACATTTACTCAATACCCTGCAACATTTCTTATCATTATCCATACTGTGGATTTCAGCAGATCGACTATGAACTGGGTGACGTGTGCGTGGGAGGCTGCACAAAGCACTGTGCAAATTAGCATCACAGCCTCATCACATCCAGTAATAAATAAAGGTAATAATTATTTTTAGTATTAATAGTAGTAATTACTACTCACCTTCGTTGCCAAGGACTTGAGCTTCCCCAGCAGTGACTGCTTATTTGAATATACTATTTCTTCTTCATTATCTTCTCCTTCCATTATAGCACAGCTGTCAGCAGCTGGCAGCTCGCACTCTTTTGAGTTTGCTGTCATCACTAATTTGGAATATTTATACTCCAGCCTGAAGATATAAAGCCAGACAGGTGTAGATTATTTTACAAATGTCCCATATTCAAGGCTTTTGTAATTTAGATTATCTGCAGTCCTTCCACATAGTTACTTCTGAGGTATTTACTGGAAATTAGATATTTTTCAACCATTAAAAACATGTAACCAGAATAGTACTAACAATACATCGAGCTCCTGCTCTCCAGATTAGCCCTCTATCCTTATAAAAGAGCCGTGTTTTCCCAAAAGACCACAAGTAGGTCAAGAGGGTTCCCCACATGAAGAAGTCCGACCTGTGTGCTGGTTGGGGCAACAGCAGGTCTGACTTCAGCCTGTATCAGAATCTGTATCACACCCATATCCAAGGGGGCTATGGGGGAGAGGAGAGATGTGTAGCAGGAGAGATGTGTGGTAGGAGGCAGCAAAAGGTGGGGACCATGATACTGGAGTCTGGGTTTGGTGAAGCTGGATGAGCTATGGGGCAATGAAATCCCATGGAGGTGGAATCACATTCTGAAAGTCTATGGCATGAGATTTGGGAAGCAGAGGACAATGGGGATGGGGAACAGTCAGTATGTTCAGTCTGAGACGCAGGGATCTTTTGTGCACGTATCAGACACGTCCTGCCAACATAGATCTAAGCAATATACCGTCAAGAACCTTATTTTAACCCAGCTGAAAGGGACTAATTAGACTGAAGAGATATCCTTTTGGTCTTCAGACCTTGAGAAAGCCGTGTTGCTTCGGGACCTAAGGTCAATTTCAAATTCTTGAGGGTTAAAAAGACAGTTCCTGTTGGGAAGTTATGTCATAGCAAATTACTGTGGATTTCCTATACTTTCCTCACTAGCATTTTTGATAGCCACTGTTGGCAGAAGAAACCTCAACTTGGTGGATTAACGGACTCATCAACATGGTATTTCTCATCAACATTGTCATAAGGTCAGATCCATGAAAAGGCTTTTTGTTCACTACATCAAGCTTTTAGCTTACTTTTATATGGAACACAATTTGCAGTACTTACTTCTGGTTCTTCTTCCAAAAATAGCAGGTCAAGGCTATGAGCAGAACGGCTGTGAAAGCACCAACACCAGCTCCAACTTTCAGCCAAAAGTCCACTGTTTCACAAGTGCTGGTCCTTTTTTCTGGCAAGGGAACCCCTTTAATGCAATGCTTTGGCTCATTCCATACATACAAGGTTTCCTTTCAAACGGAAAACAGAAAACACCAAAAAGTGAGCTGCTTATAGGAAAAGACAGAACTATTTAGTTGAAGAAAACAAGCTGTTTTGAGGTAGACAGGTTAGACATCTTTTCAATGAAAGCAAACCAAAACATGTACTTCAGGTTTTCAGACTCCAGGTTGAGTCATATTGTCTACTCAGTTGTCCCCTTGATTGTGCCTGCAGGTTCAGACATGGCAAAAGGATTTCCTCTTCCAAATTGCTCTTCACGTGGCACGATATGGGTTGGACAGCTATTGTGAATATGTTGTGCCTGCCTTGGAGCTGTTGATCAACAGGACAGTTCTGAACCTGTGAAAGGACTTCCTAATATTTGACTAGAGAAGGCAGCAGCAAAAAAAATTGCAATCAAGGAAGGATGAATTTCTGAACTGAAATTCTGAATCCTTTCCTAGCCTGTCCCTGATGTTTATGGCCATGAAAGGATTGAAGTCCTTTGGCCACTCCATCCTTCACAAATAACTTGCCTGCACGTATGAATGCATACAGAGCTCACGTCCCTACCCACATAGCTGGTCAACACAAGCCACCTCTTCCCCAGGAACCATGCTGCCATTGGCACAAATATCCCCGAGTCTCCACACAGCACCTCACCAATGAGACTTGCACCCAGGCAGTTCAGAGCCTGGACTGAGGTTTCCCAATTCTACCTGCACTTACGTATTGACTTGCACACCGAATTTCAACAGAGTCCAAGTTATACCCATATGAACCCATCTTACTTGGAGACATGGGTCCTGTACCTGAAATCCTTTTTTGCAGGCTCCCTCAATCTCGTGGTAGTCTTGCTCCGTGCAGAGAGGGCAAGCTTCTGCACTTTCCCATACGAAGTAGAAAGTGCACCCATCGCAGGTGCCCGCAGGGCATGAGCTAGGAGGAGAGCAAAGCTGAGTTATCACTTAGGAAACACTCTGGGGTTTGCATCCTCACTCCACATTCTGCTGCTGAAGATTGGTAATGGTAAGTACAACAAATGGGTAAACATCCATCAAGTCAGCAGATGGAAAAATCTGGGGGAAGACTTCTTCCCAGTTTGTAAAATGCTTTCTTAAGTAAAAACAGATGTTGGGCTCTCAAAGGTCTAAAATAACATTTCAGTTCCTGGCAGTGAGTGCTACTCATGCACCTACGATGACGAGAAGAGAAAGAAGCAAGCCTTGGAGACCAGCAGAACTACTCCAGCGTTTCACCAGCATGGGCTAGCCCAGCATGCACCTCTATCACTGTTCTCCTGCACTGGGTGACCGTTCCACGAGTGCTGCTATCTGGTTCCTGCTGTTGTTCTAATGATGTCTGGGTGATTTCATCCATATGGAATGGACTTGTCCTGTCATGGTTAATTACTAGAAGGATGTTCACCAGTTAATGAAGAGATAACAGCTTCTCTTAGTCTAAGAAAGACTAATGACCCTATTTGTATTCAGCCTGCAGAAGAAAGTTGTACTGGCAATGGCAGGACATTCACGCAGCTTTTGTTACTGACAATTACATCAGGTCTAGCAGCAGCAGTGGCCAAAAGTCCATGCAAGAAGCTAGGTCATGTAAATGTGAAATATATCCATGCAGAAAAATGGATTTAAAGGTTTTTTTCTATATCATCTGGAAATCTGTTATCCTGATCTGAAGGACTGAAAATTCCACAGCCCTAAAAACCCATTCTGGCTTATCCTGGTTTGAATAACTGACAACTGTCCTTTGCGGATTATGGAACATTTTTTCAATGTATATGGCAAGACCATTGACAGACCTTTCTCCTCAGCCTCTGTCATCTTAAACTGCAACTTCATATGATACTAAACACCATGTCTGGAGGATCAAGGAGTTATATACAGTATCATTTGACATGTATCATGTTTGAAAATAGCTGTCTGACTGCTGAGCTAATCAAAGGGTGCTAGGAAGAAGTCAACAAGAACTGAGATAAGTTACATCATGTCAGCTGTGTGCCATTTCTGTCCATGCTCCCATTTTTAAAAGCAAGGTATGTTACTCCTCCCTCCCTACTGGTGAGTTACCACAGCTCACATCATGTTTCACCTACAACATTAGGACACCTGAAGGGTTTTCACATGACAGCTGATAGATGTTGGCTTGTTGCCCAGCATACTTTGTAGTGTATCAGGTCCCTAAGAAACCAGGGTAAATATCTCCAAAGGCGTTCAAACACCAGTCATTCATCTATCACCTGTGAAGTAGATTCCTCTTTGCTTTCATTCAGGTAAGCATGGTTCACCTGTCCCAACACGGACAGGGATCAAAGAGGATCCCACACTTCTCACACTGTTAGCTTTTGAGAAGGGGACTTAACTTTTGGGAAGGAGGATCAGTGAGGGGGCAATCAGCAGATTTATAGTAATGTCCAGATGGACTAAGATGGGCCTTGACAGCCAAAGAGGAGGGTTATCAGAGTTGAAGGGAACTTCCAAAAAATCACAGGGTGTTGCTGAAGAGTAACAGAACTAATTATTTTATTGTTTTTTCTCTGCAAGTTTTCAAGTGCAGGAATAAACAGTACTTTGGAGAAAAGAAGTTTTTTGGAGTCACTTGAATCAGAGTGAAGGGAAAAAAAGGTCAGGCAAATTAAACACAACTGGTACAAGGGGTCCAGGATAGAAACTGGAGTGATTAGACATAAATAAATACCTATAGAACTTGAACTAGACAGAGTCAGGGCTCACATAAGTATTGCAATAGCAGATTTCATTGTTCCTACGACAGGTTGCTCTTTTTCAAAAAATCACTTTGTTCACAGCCACTGCTGTAGATCAAGGAAGAAAAACTACCTCTCAAAGCCCAGACTAGACAGTTTTAATCAGGAAGCCAAAGACCAAAACAAGGATCTGAAATAAAGGAGAAGTAGAGACAAGAAAACATCACTACATTTACTTGTGGCTTTAAGCGTGGAACAACCTGCCTGAGCTGTAACCTCTCTCACTGCACAGCCTAAACACACAGCAGTTGGTCTGCTGGGAGAAGACGGACACACACGTCCCTCACCTAGGAGAAATGAATGAGACCTCCTGGGTGGCTGATGAGGAAGACAGCACTCCTCATTGCTGTTAACTATAAAGTTACTAATGAGTTTTGTAAAAGTTTCCTGAGGAGTAAAGGCTTTTAGGCACTACTAGGACACAAATACTTAAATACCTGGGCACAGAAAGCTCTCCTTGGTCTGGTTTGTTGGGGTTGCATCTCATTGTCACAACAGTTGCACGGCCATTTTCACAGGAGGTTGTCACTGTTGAAGACCTAATGTCAAACAAGAGGAGAAATGTAATACATTTCCACCACAGTAAATACATGTTGCTCTTTCATAGGTCTCTGTCCATTCATGCAACTGCAGAACTAACGAAATACCCTTTACCACAGCACTTTTGCCTTTGTCAACTGGAAAAAAAAAAAAGGAGCTACAGAAGCAGGGTAGGTTTCGCCACTTCATTTAAATCTCAGAGTGCTCTGAGATGCCACCAAGGGAACTGCTCTGTTTTTCTAGCTAGTTTGAATCCTGCTGAGTCAAGGAATAAACCTGCCCACAAAACAGAACAGAACAATTAAAAAAGAGAATTGCAGGTGCTGTGGTTGGTGTGTTACTCTGCTGGAGAGTTTACGATGGCTCTCTCCTCACCTAGTAATCTGAGAACCACACTGTCCTGAAACAGTACAAGGCAAAGGGGATTCAAAAAATGGACCTTATTCCAACATGATAGACATTGTAAGTCAAGTCTGTAACACACTCAAAGTAGGGTCACTGGTGTGGGGTTCAGCTTGCAGAATCAGACACATATTTTAAGTATTCACATATGCATAAAATATTCATATACAAAATGCTATAGCAAATTAAGATCTATCACTAAATCCAACACAATCTAGACAGCCAATCAGTAGAACAAATATAGGTATGTGCTTTAAGATAAGCTGAATAGCCCCACAGGCTCCAGAGTCCAAGCTTAGAAACCCAGTTCACATGAAGACACCAGCATGTAGATATCTTAATTGAGGTGATCTTTGAGCTAATTCTTACCCAAGCTGAGGTATTCTTTTCATGGAGGAAAGTGAATAGGAAAAGGACACTAGTAACTGTGCAGGTTGGAACAATTATTTTTAACCTCGATTAGTTCAGTTTTGCAACATCAAAGTAAATACAAATGAATGTGAAAGAAAATATGCAATGGGAAGTGGACATATTAAAGCCATATATGAGAAATTATGGAAAGAAACATGACACTGGAAGTAGCACATGGATGAATCAAAGCTCTGGTATCACTCTCTACAGACCAAGTGTAATTTAGATTTGAGTAAAGAGTGTTTGCTGATTTCATAAGATGTTCTTCAACATGCCAATCAATATCAGCCAGATACTGATTAAAGTGATAAAGATTAAAGTTGGATTAAAGATCTCCCTTCACAGTTTTAGTTTCCTTTAAACAATTAAGAAATTTGACATACCAATAAACAGTATTTTTTACCTACTTGTAAAAGAAATGCACATCAGGTATTTTGCTTGGAGAGGGAGGAAACATATCTGTCTTGATGCTGATATTTTCCAGCGTTGTTTCAACAGTAGCCCCTAAATTTTGAGAAGGGAAAAAAAAAAAATGAACAAGCTAAGAATGGATTTCTGAGGGGTTCACGTATAACATTTTCTCAGTCTGAAATGTATGGGTCTCACTTAATAGCATTTAATGACATTACTATACAGGGAGGTGAAAAATTGCTAGAACAACAAGAAAAAGTGGTAGCAGCCAGCAACTGGTGGGAAGATGGGAAAGACTGAAGAAGTTTTCCACTTGTTCTTGCAACAGTTCAGAAAGCCTAGCTGAATTCTTAGGACTTCGACTTGACTTCAATTTGACTGGCATTACATTTGGGAGGACGATTCACACAGCTGGAAAATCCATGTCTGGTTATAACCCTTTTAGGTAAATATAGTAGATAACAAAGGTGACAGTTTGCACTAGACACTACTACCTGGTGTAGGACAAGTCAGAGCTTGGGATTGTGAAAGCACATGGATCAATGGGCTCAATAACATTGCTCAGGAGAGCTTGCAGGTGAAGGATAGCTACAGAGCATCTCCTCAACTGACAGAACAAAATGAGCTGTGCTGCAGCAACCATCAGGAGCATGTGCAGAAAGATGTCAGGTTATTGTGGAGGGATCTCTGTTCTGAGAACATACGCTGACGTCAGCAAGGATGATCATTTCCTCTCATCAAAGACATTGCATCGAAAACAGGGTAACTTAAATTTGGATTGCAACACAATCAACAGAGATTAGTTATTCACTAGGCTGGAAGATGATAGCCCTTAGGGCCTTATTATATTCAACAGAGGCAATGAGAGAATATTCCCATCCAATATGCAGTACTGTAGAGATGGCATCTCAAAGTGCAGCTTCTCAAAAATAAGAACACTAGAAGCAAAATCAAGTGTGAAAAAAAAATATGTCATTCTTCAGAAGATATTAATTATATGGCTAAAAAGCTGCAATGACTCTCTCAAGAATGACAATAGCTTTGACTAAGAGTCCACCTTGGATCAGAACAGAGGTAAAGGAGCAATTTAAATAAAAACATTGGCATAAGCTTAATGGAGGGGGAATAAAGAATCAAATAAAATCAAAAGTTATGAGTTACAGAAAAATGATAATGGATGCTAAAGACTTCAGGGAAAAGCCTGTGTTTGGCAGCACTAGAAAAATTGTAAGTTTGGAACTTTTTTAGAAATACTAGAAATAAAAGTACATCTTATGGGTAGGAAAGGCAAACTTCAACCATTTAAAAATGTAACAACTGTAATAAAGAAAAGGCAGCAGAAGAGCTTGATATCTTTTCTCCGTATTAGGAAAAAATCAGGACTATCTCCTTGCTTTCCAAGACAATGACTGAACACCTCATTCCTTCAGTGGCAGGAGAGGATATTGGCAGCTACTTGGCATGCACGCTTATAAACTAGCAAGTCCATACCTAAGAGTGACCTTTAATAGAGCTTTTAATGATAGAGAAACGTCAGAAGACTGATGGAGAGGGGATATGGTGAGCCAAATTACAATGCAGCTAACACAATGAGGCGAAATAACAGGAATGGTAAGTGGAAGATGGGTTTCAGTTGACGGATAGATATATAATGAATGGCAGTCAACATGAATTTATGGAGAACAGCTCTTGTTGAACAAATCTGATTTCATTCCTTGAGTGCTGATGAGTTTGGTTGCTAAAGAAAATTATGTAAATTCATCAAGTATTTCACTAATTACCACATGAGATTCTAATTAAAAAGTTAGCAGTGTAATATCAATTAAGTGCACACTCTGGATTAAAACTTATTTAACTAACTAATTATAAAATTATCTGGCCATGGGAAATTGTCATCAAATGTAGTGTGTCTCCAGGCTTCTCTAGGCATTAATATTGGAGTCCCAAAATGCAAGATTATCATCAGGGATCTGCAAGCAACTATATAATCACTGTTGGTAAAGTGTGTAGATTAGGCAAAGATTATGAGGAACAGGAATAAAATACAGAGCAACTTGGTTCACTTGGTAAGCTGGTCCCAATTAAACTAAACAGATTTTAGTGCAGAGAAGTGCAGCAAGGGATGAAGGCCAGTCCTAAGGAAGAGAGGTTTTCCCTTGGAAACCATAACTCTGAAAAAGATCTAGAGTGGACATCACATCCAAGAAGCCATCATGAAATCCCATGAGTCTGGAGAAAGAAGGACTCATGGATTCCATCCTTGCATGTAGATACAAATAAGGAAGTGATTTTTATTGCCATTATAGTGAATTAAATTCTGGAATACTATTCCATTCTGATGTCCATGCTTTAAGAAAATATAATAACAAGCTACAGAGGCTGCAGAAAGAGCCTCAAAAATTATTCAGATGCTTGAAAGAAATACATGAGAGCAAGAGACTTAGAAGAACTTGGTCTACTTAGTTTATCAGAAGAGCAGACTGGGGAGAGTGTGGTGATTCAAGTACACAAAATGTTTCTCCAAGGAGGAAAATGTGGGTGTGAAATGGAGAAAGAATAACAAGAAGCAAGAACTGAAAACTGAAGCCAGGCAAATTCAAACAGGAAACAAGTCTGCTTTAAAACAAAATACAGAGAAGGTGTTTGACCAGTGGAAAAAAATACCAATGACTGTGGCAAAACTTTTATTTCTGGCAGTCTTAAGTCCAGGTTGAATGCTCTTCCAAAGACGTGCTTTTGTCAAACATGAGTTTCTGGGCTCAGTGCCAGGGAGAAAGTACAAACACTCAGTGCCTGTAATGGATAGGTGAGCAGACTAAATGACTTCATTGTCTAATCTGTCCTCAGACTCTGGGAACTTGTGAGCCAGAGCAATGCAAGACTTAATGATGTGCACAGCCCCATGCTGCCCTAAGCCTCCTCCTTCCTTGCCTAATTACGTACCAGCACCAGCTTCTTCTGAAATTGCCCAAGTGGGGACTTGGCATGGGCAGAAACACTTGGACTAATGCTACTACTACAGTGATTGGTCTTGCCCTGCATGAGGTGGGTAGGAAACATGAAAGAAAACCAGTGCTTTTTAATTACATTCTCCAGATTTTGTGCTGAAACTCTATGCACCATGGGACCCACTAGACCAAACACGGGGAAGAGTGAGCAATATGGGAATGGGAAACAAAGGATGGGGGGAGCCCTTACTCTTCTACTCCAGCCATCGCTGTACTTAAACAGCAGCAAAAAGCAATGGCATCTGTCCACATCTGCTTCACAGCTCAGGAACAAAGTGAGACTGAATCTTGGGCTGCCCCTGTGCTCTTCTCCCAAGGTAATGCAGCACTGCTGAGCTGAAAAGGATTTACTCTGCAGCCCTAAATACATGAGAGTACATCCATGATAACAACATGCAGAAGACAAACCACGTACCTAAGAACCTGTCGGCAAGGCTGTTAGACTGCAAAGCCAGGGCTGTTCGGAAACCCTTGCTGTCCGACGGGATGATTGTGGACTGACAGACAAAAGCTCCCACAAAGTTGGAAAAATCTTCTGATTCTGCAACCATGTCCTTCAGAGTAACATCTGTGATATTGTCAGTGCAAATAGCCATCTTCTTCCCCTGTGGACAATCAGGAAAAAATGGGGAAGCTGTTGGTTGTTGATAGGACGTGAAAAAGTTTAGGAAAGGAGAGATTGCAAACTTCCTGAGTGCAAACTGGATGAGTTTCATTCCTGCACCTTAGAAACAACTTGATGTTTCTATTATGAGAAGGACAAATTGCAACAACAAACTGTGCCATTGTGAAAGCTCTGATTAAAGCCTTGTACAGACCCAGAAACACGATGTCACCTCTGGTACGTGTCTTATCAGAAACCTGTGCTACAAAGCACTCTTCTTTGTTTATCTTGACAGCACAGCGTTTACTTGTAGAGCATAATAAAATGGCTTGCAAAGGAAAACCATATTTCCCTTGCCTTTAAATAATATAGTGTAGAATACCTCTTTATTTGGGGTTTAATCCAGAAAAAATATTTTCAAAGCACAAATACATGAAATCCCTAAACAGATATATAGCCTTCAAGGCAGCGTTAATGTTACATGTCAAGACCAGTGCTAGAATCTCGGAGCAACAGCAAACTCAGTTGTCCCGACAAAATGCCAAGCACCCAGGACCTAATCATATGGTTGGTGTACTGTAGTACCATTGCAGTGGTTTGGGAAAATGAAGCCCAGATCCACAGGGGAGTGAGCATATCTGTACCTTTGTGGATCTAGTTGTCAGCAGCTCTAATCCAGGTGGTACTTAAACACACATTTAAGACTAAAAGTATGCAAAACACTGTGAAGAAACGTGACTACTCATTTGCCTCAACTCATGCCAACCCTTTGGTACATGGGAAAGAGACTTCATAAATTTACAGGGCTGAATATCAATGTAAACTACATGCATTGGCTTTCATGGGACAATACACATCACTGGTACTGCTCCAAAACTTCAATTTATGTATATGACAACATGCTCTGGTACAGTCTAAGCCCCAGACAGAAAAATCTTGACTCTGGGGCAGAGACTGTTTGCACTCATGGACTAAACATATTTTTCCACCACTTTAAAAGGCTGCAATCAACGTCAGCAACAGGCACCTTGGCCACTGGCAGACAGCAGGATGACCAGGGGCTCTGCTGACAGCAACATCTCCAGCCAAGTCACGAGGGAAACATATGGAAAGAAGTTGGCAGAAAGACTCAGACTCTTCGCTTGAGTTACTTGGTGGCAGCACAAAAAGGTCAGGGTTGTGACTTGAAGGCACAAGAACTAAGAAAAGCTAGGGATGTGACAGGGTTTTTCTTCTGAGCATTACTTGTGCCTTAAACATTTGTCATGTCTGCTCTGGAAAATCACTTGGCTGCTCAAAAGTCCTCTTGCACTGCTGAGCAAGATCCAGAGGAAAGTGTTTGCATGGTGTTGGTGACAGCTCAGCTGTAGGGGAGTCCTCGTCTTGTCTCAGTGTGATCCCACAGAGCATCAACACAGGCAGCAAATTGGTTAATCCCCCCAACCCTCAACACTAGCTGAGCTCACCTCATTCCCACACAGGCTGATGTTAAAGAAGTGGAAGAACTTGGTCCCTCGGGAAGTGAAGCTGGGTCCACTCATCAACGAGCCCACCTGGCTGAGGTTGCTAAAATCGTAATTCAGGCTCTGGTTATCCTTGATGTACGACATCAGGCAGTCACTGAAGCAGGCGGAGTGGTCCTTCAGAGAGGGAGAGGCATCCATTAAAGAGCAGTTATGGACCAGCAGCAAACCGTTCACCTGGGAGTTAAAGCAAGCTGGTGCAGATAGGACTGCTTTCCTTGTTAAGGATGGAGGGGAACTTTGTCCTATTCCTGTAATTCACCTTTTCCTTGGGAGAATTCCCATTCCTGTTTCAGTCCCTTGCAATCACATATCAGGACTTCAATGTTCCCTAAGCCTGGCCTTTCTGCTGTCTGCTGCATTAGCCAAGAAAATGCAGTGTTTGTTGCTTTGTTTTGTTGTGGGTGCTTTTAGGATCCCAATGTCTCAGCTTAAGGCCCTGTAGATAGACCAGAACATGGCCTCAGGTATACTTGCATCATGCAAAGGAAACGCAAGAAAGAGTTCAAGAAACAGGGACAGGATAAGAACCCAGATGGAGAAAGGCACAATATGAACAAATTGGAGCAGTTCTTCAAGTCCTTGTGCAGCTCCTTGCCAAAGGATGCTGCACTTGATAAATGTTTATCTAGGCTTAAGGGCAATTTCATGTAAGAGGAGTTTGTTACAGGTTTCTAAAGGCACAGAAACATCATCCAGCTGAGGAAGTCCCTGAGTTTAAAACAGCAGGAGTCTGGGACAGTTTCAGGTGGAAGTAACATATATGCTTGTCCTGTTCTTACACTGTCCCCAGTACAGCTTCTTGAAATGAACCTTTTTTTGAGCCGGTGTGGTCAATTTTATCTTCTTATTGCATATTTACAGACAGAAATTAGACTAGGGACATATTTGGAAGAGTGGGATCATTGGTTATAATTATACTCCAGTGCTCACAAGGCATATACCTGTCGGAAAGCACTAAAACTGGCCTTTTGAGTGCTTATATCCCAATAAACCCTGTCTGCCCATCGCTCAGAGACCCTCAGTTTCTGTACCTTGGTGCTCTTGCTGCCAGGCCCACATGGGATGCAGGCCTCCCTGCCATAGACCTGGTGGATGGACAGGAACGTGTTGGCCGGACACTCCTTGCACTGGCTGGTCTCCTTCTCGATGTAGTGTCCCGTCGGGCAGGGCACGCAGGATGAGCCAGACTGCTCAGAGCCCAGCGCACAGGCCCGGCAAGAAGAGGCAACTCCATCCACTGCGTTGGTCACCGTGATGGAGTAGATCTTTGCCATGTCATTGATGAACTGTCTGCTCTGGAACAAGAGCCGAGGAAACCACCCTGGTGCCGTTGCACCATTGTATGTGGACACTAATCACAGGACTGTGCACCAGGGCACTGATTCAGGGATCGAATTATGCATGCACCTGTCTGTCAACATGGATAGTTTATCCACAGCTGCCTCCCAAGGGATGCTATATGGTGACAGCCACTCACCCTTTACAAGAAGCCTGTGAGCTTCAATGGAGGGTAAAAGCTGTGGTGGTGAGTGCCCAAGGAAGGCTGTGCTGTAAAGCCCTGTATGTAAAGTACTTACATCTTGGCCCTCGTTTATTCTCTGAAAGGCCCAGGTGAACGTGAAGGAAGCGTTTTTGGAGATGATGTGCGTGTAGGATTGTTTCTCTTTACTTCTTTCCCATGATTCCACCACATTGGTATTTTTTCGATTAACATCCTATAAAATGGCCATAAAAAATTAAAAAAAAAAAAATGTGGTCATACTACACTAAACACTAGTGGTTTATAATACAGAGATTAATATATATAAAGGACTTTACAACTGCATTTAACATTTAATAAAGGAGAGCAAACACATTTATTCTCTTTTCCATCACTGGCAATTTTTTAATTGAGATTGGGTGTCTATTCCAAAAGATGCTCTAGTTCACACAACAGTTAAGTTTGAAGTCCTATAGCAGGTTATAAACGTTATGAGGACAGATTCAGCACAGTCGTTCTTTCAGATTTGAAATTCTGTCTTTGTATAAAATGTGGGTACCAGAGCACCGAGAGGGGAAGGCCAAAATTCAAAGAAAAATTGTAGTTTCTGCCATTTTCAGATACCCACTTTGTTGGTGTCTCTAGTGAAACAGAACTGAGGCCAATAAGACAGCATTAAAGTTTACACAAGAAAAACCTGTTCAGTTTATGTGTTTCTTATTCTCCATGAGCTGTAAACGTTCCAGTGAAAGATGCTTTTTCTTTAAAACAGATTTCTTTAAATTTTCACTAAAGGCAGATTCCTTTAAATTACCACCTAATTTCCGCTTAGTTCTCTTTCAATTAAGAGCAAATTCCTTTAAAGTACCACTAAATACAAAAAAGAAAGAACCAGCTTCCCTTTGCAATGGCAGGGGCAAGGGAGCCGTCACAGATCCAGTTATCTTCCTCAGCTGATGGACTTTCGATAACGAGGTGAGGAAAGTAAAAAACATGGCCCTTTGCTTTCCCAAACAAATGTCTGTCTGCTGCCCTACCGATTCTCCAGGTCACTGACAGGATCAAGAATAAATTTCCAAATTTTCCATTTCCCATCCCTCTGCCCCACATCTTGACTTGTGACTCTTATTAAAGTTCTGGAGGCTAACTCGACTGCACAAGAGACACTGAGAATTTTATCAGTCGGTTTAACATGGGAAAATTTGGCTTTTTGGTGTCCAATGATTCTTTTAAAATAAACAGATAACCAAGAATGGTTCACAATTCATGTGGTGGAGGAATTTTGCTAGGTCATTCATCAAATCCTTCCTGCAAGGGCACTGCAGATATTAAACTAATGTCATATTTAATCTTAGTCATAATAAACCAAGTGCAACTAATCACACCTATGTACAGGTATTAAAGTGACATGTGGAATACTAGGCTCAGTCCTCAGTCATGGAGAGAGAGGTCTCACTTACCGCCATAAAGTACAGCACACAATCTGCTGAACAGATGGTCTCAAAAATAAAAGTAATCCGTCCTAATTCTGACCCAGTTGCTCCTGTCACCGATGTCGGAGGTCTGTTTAACAGAGAAGGAACGAAACATTTACAAGATGCTCTCCAGACAGGCAGCAGTCAATCCTTCAAATTGCTTTTCGTGCAGCGGGGAAACCATCAAAGTCCTGTCACATAAAACCTGCCCTTGCAGAACTGCGGAGGCCAGGTTTGCACAGCGGCTCTGCACTGAGTATTGGGCACAGCAGGATTATTTTTTAAGCGTCTGACTTCTTTATGATACAGTTCCCTCCTTATAATCAACACCCAAATTTTACCATATTGGTAGGGAATCTTATCGCTTAAATGCATTACATGCTTTAAGTGATTTACACCAATTTAATTGCATCTACCCTCCACTGGTGGGAGACGCTTTCAGGAGTTTCATGCAAACCAGAAGTATTCAGGATGCTCCCCTGCAAAGTACTAAACAGTAAACAGTAAATTGCGACACACCGCACTTTTCCACAGATATGTTTTTTGCTTCTCTTTTATTTTCACTGCTGTTTGCCCATGCTGTAAAATAAAAGTCAGGGTTTGCTCATTGGGTGTAAGAAGTCACAACCCCCCTCAGCTGAGATACAGGAAAGGAAGGGCGAGGTTCATTGTGCCATACCTTACCTGTCTTAATAATTGACACCTCATCTGAGCTAGGAGTCTAAGCTCACTCTTAAAAAAGAAGATGCACAAGCACCTCAAGCAGCTAATTCACCCTGTCTGAGGGTCCAGGAGAGGTGGCATGTCCTGATCTCCTGCGGTGCCTGCATCTCTCCACTGGCTCCAGGGGAAGCACAGAATGTGCCAAAGCCACAGTGCAAAGTAATGTGGGTTTCTGTAAAACACCTTCAGGGCACGCGCCAGTATGCACCCCATAGCAGATTTATCTGGTTACTTTGGGAGAATTTAGAAACAGAGAGATAGGAATATCTTTTCTCAGTTTCCAGACAGCCAACCAGCTGGCATCTTGGACTGAAGCAAACACTGCTGAAAACCAAGGTCTTACAGAATCATCTGCTGCAATGGGCTGACTGGGGACACAGGAATAAAATGCAAGTTTCCCCTTGTCTCTCATTCAAGACATCATTGCACTTCAGAAAGAAGAACTCTGTTCATTCCAGGGATAATGTGAAATAGGTGTAAGAGGCAGAGAAAAATGAGAAATAGATGAAAAAAAATCCTGTTCCTTACTTAAATCCTGGGATATGCAGGTTCAAGATAAGATAGTCATTGTCAGAGCCTCCTGCCCCACTCTGGATGTGATCACCAGCCACCTCCCAACCTTCACAGGACAAAAAAAGAAAAAAAAATTCAAGAAATGGATGGTTTCTGGGTCATATGGCCAAAACATTTCTGTTGCCACACTTTTTTAAGCAACTGAGTATTTTAGTACCTTTTAAAGATGTCTGTTATAAACTATAGAGCAGTATAATAATGCTTTTGAATGAAAAATTTTAGTAATTATATGAACTGCTGATTTTATAGGCAAATGTCACCTTGAAATCAGCAAAGCAAGTGGAATTCCCTGACCTGTGCTGTGCAGCTCAAGGGGATGATCCGTCTGATCTCTTCCAGCCTTAAAACAGATGAATCAATGAATCTATGTGTTAAACGTCAAGCATATATTTCAGTGCCCCTCTGCTCAACATGCATAATTCAAAGCTTGAGTTACATCGGCCTGACAGGGCGGATCAGACTGAGGAAAATGTCTCAGAGAAGGCTGGAGGTGGGAGAAGTCCCGAACGGAGCCACTTTCACCAGTGAGCTGTGACTGCTTTCTGCTGCAATCTTAGCACATGTGCAGAGAGAAAGCTTTGAGTGCTAAATGAACAAAGATCACAGACTTTAATTAAGTTTTCCAAAAGAATTATGTGTGACCTCAAAGGGCATAGTTATCACAAAACATGAAAGGAGATAAACTAGAGAGAAGTCAAATAGTTGGGTTTTCAGTGGGGATATTCATATGCATCAAAGTCTATGGTGGGATAGGTCCTTGGCTGAGGGGACTTCACAAAGGCTGCAGCTCCTGCCCTCTTCTGGTATATGAGAGATTTTTTATTTCTTCTTTGTGATATTGTGACATTGCTTCCTACAGGAAATTTCAAGCCTGGTGCAATTGAAGAAAAGGGGGGAAACTGTGTTGTGACTCACGTAGCAAAGAGCATATTCGTTTTGATGAGTGATCCATTACAACAGTGATCAGCGCAGGAGAAAGACAGGCAGGTAACAACACAGGGAGTTTGGCTCACCGTTCATCCCATCGCACTTTGAGTTGCCAACATTAAAGCAAGACGTTTTCATGTTGCCTGGCAGGATGTTCCACCACTTGTACTCAAACCCAAGAGCTGGTTCAGTCCCAGCAGGGCAGGCTTTGCACTCTACAGGGCGAGAGGGCAGGAAAGGAAATCACACGGCCAAAGCGCATCTCAAACAGTGTTTTAAAGAACATAGACATTACTTTTTTACTCTCTGGGGCAAATAATGAGCAAAGAAAATAATCTATTTCTTTATAATTAAACAGCCAAAGATTTATCAGGACCAGAAGAGTGGAAACGAGACCAGCATTTTATAAATTGCAGATCATAATCTCGTGGTAAGTAATCTGCAACTGATCCTCCAAGCCACACTTCCTTTTTAATGGCTTCAGATGAAGGTTTGATCATACTGGCAAACATGAGTTCCCACAAAATGCTGTAGGTGACCACTGGACCAATACGTCTCAGAATCAACAAGCCAGAGTTTAGGCTAGACAATGTTGGCAGGGTACTCATCTGACAGTGCTTAAAATGAGATTTTCACAGGGCAGAACTTGGCATGGACAGGAGAATGGGTGAGGAGGAATTACTGACTGTAAAAGTTCTGATTCCCTTCTTAGAATCCCTTAAAATAACCCTCAGGATGTTTATATCAGCCAAGAAATGCATCCAGAACACAACAGGTCAACTTAGAGCAGCAATCCCTGATAAGAAAGGACTTCAGAGAGAAAACAGATATCCAACTCGCTCTCTCCAATGTTATTTAATAAGTATTTTATGCAAAATGAGCTCTGGCTTATGATGATGTGTCATTAAACTAAGTCACATGCAAGCAGACAACTGCTTTGGGGGTCACAAGCAATTTTTTTGTGGACTCCTACCCTGTGTCCCATCCGAAAATGTGCCTGGTGGGCAAGGAGTACAGGAAGATGAGGCGTTGTTGTAAAAGCCAGGATTGCAGGGTGGACAATCCTTCCTCTCTCCAGAAGGAGGTAGTGTCAATGCATCGGGGAGATCCTCTCTGCAGATCTTGGGTTCAATCCATTTGTACATGATCTGAGTCTGGAAGGAGAAGACACTGAGCTCACATGGTGTGTTAGGAAGCTTTAGGATTACATGCACCAATCAAGGTCCCCCTTGTAAATGAAATTAGGGTATGCATAAAGTTTTAGGCCAAAACCAGACCTTGCACATCCAGGACAATAAAGAGAAGGGCACAGAAGGGAAACAGAAGTGACTGGGTTCACAGGCAATTCCAAGATTTCAGGCCTTAAGAGCAAAGCAAAAATGTGAAGCTTAAAACAATTACTACTGTTCATTCCTATTTATCTAGTGGATTTTCCCATGAAAATGTTTCTGAGGAACGTCAGATAAATAATTCTAACAACTGCATAAGCAATCTCTGCATTTTAACCATAATAACCCAAAATATAACTTCTGCATTATAAAATCCCTTTATTGGGAAGGCATCTGTTAGCAGAGAACATCACAAATTCTGCATTTTCTCCATACTGGCCTGTTCTTTGGAAAGTCCTCAATTTCTCTCCAGCCACTTTCACCTACTGAGCAAATGCCAAACCACACAGGAACTCTTCCAGCCCCTCCACATTACATAAGGAGCAGTCTATGAACACTAACATGAGTCAGTCCTTGGTGTTACCATATACAATGGTATCACCTCTCTGACATCACCTCTCTTTGACGGGACACAAGTTTTCCAACTTCAGGAAAAGGCTTAGGTGAGATGCATCGCCCATGGTGTTGGGTTTCAAATTTCATCTGTCTTTGGGTCTATCCCTGAAAGGGTTTAATATCTCAAGACAAAAATTAGTTGAGTTCCAGAGCTGAGAAACACAACTGGCAAGACTTTAACCTGGCCACAGCTCCTTCTTTGGGTACTTCCACCCTTTAGTCCCAGCAGCTCAATCAGGGATCCTTGAGGCCAGAGGCATGGGTACAGGGGTTGACAGGGGAGATTTCACCTTATGAATTTGGTTCAGGGCCCTGAGCACAAACCCCTGCCATCCCGGGCATTGAGCTGCTTGCACTCAAGGTTAGCCCTCAAGAAGTATTGACCAGCTTTGAACCTGTTTGAAAAAAAAGCTGGAAGAAGCTTCAGTGCAGGCTCAGGCCTCAGCTCCTGGGAGCTGCAATTAAGCTGAGGCTCTCGCCCTTTGTCCCTGCTTGCACTGTGTTGCAGCCATGCCTGTGCCAGGTCACGTACCCTGGCTGATCCACACCCTGACTGACCAATGGACTTGATGTCCCAGCTTGACATTGGTCCTGCCTCATCACTATGGACTTGTCTGGCAACCTTGGTTGAATCTGGTCATGGATGTTGGGTCTGCTTTGCTCACTGTGCTCAGGTACTGTGGTACTGCTCCTGCTGTCAGAGTGGCACCTGGCTCCCTGCCCCTTTGGATCAGTCTGCCCTTGCTGCTCCTGCACACTTACAGGATTTTCTAGAGTATTGCTCCAGAAATGCTTCAGTAGCATCAGTGTGCACAGCATTTAAAATAAAAAGAATCAGAAGCTGGTAAAGTACCTGTGCAGTTGCCCAGAGCCCAGACACACTGGACACACTAAAGTAATCCTACTGCATCTGAGCAGGGAGAAAAGAGTCAGAGAGTGCTCACAGCCACACAGGTGAGGGTTTCTAAGACTAGGGCTGAAGCAATCAGCCTGGGATTTTTAAAGCAGTAGATGGGCGAAAAGCCAATAGGAGTCAAGTGCCTAAATCTCCTGAGGCCCCTTCTACATGTGGAGTGGGGACAGCAGAAGGGAGACAACAATCCCATGTCCAGTGAAAAACCTGGCTGATTTTAGTAAGCCATAGATCAATAGGCCTTCAGGCTGGTGCTTTACAGTCACTGTTCACCTGAAGGTGGGCTGCAGAGTCAGGCGCTCTCATTGGACCGCATCACATGGAGAGATGGCTGGGGAGTACAGCAAACCTGGACTGATTTCCAGAGATGCAGAGCACTAAGTGGTGAAAGCAGTCCTGAAAACCCAGCCAGTATCTGTGCATCTATGGCACATGTTGTTGTTGCACGTGGAAGATGAAGGGTGTCTGCAGAAAGACCCACTTTGTATTCTGATAATGTCCATCAGTGAAGGCAAAGGCCATCGAGAAGGCAGGAAGAGGGTCAACAGCAGGAGCTTATTCAATGCCAGGGAGCCTTGAATTGCACAGAGCAGTGACAGGGTAATCCGCAGGAGGCTGCAATTAAAGCATGTCCTGGTTTCGGCAGGGATAGAGTTAATTTTCTTCCTAGTAGCTGGTACAGTGCTGTGTTTTGGATTTAGAATGAGAACAAAGTTGATAACGCACCGATGTTTTAGTTGTTGCTAAGTAGTGCTTACACTAGCCAAGGACTTTTTAGTTTTCCATGTTCTACCAACAGAGAAGGCTGGAGGTGCACAAGAAGCTGGGAGGGGGCACAGCCAAACTGGCCAAAGAAACATTCCATACCATGTGACGTCATGCTCAGTACATAAACTGGGGGAAGCTGGCCGGGGGAGCTGCTGCTTGGGGACTGGCTGGGCATCGGTCGGCGGGTGGTGAGCAATTGTACTGCGCATCACTTGCTTTGTGTAGTAGTATTATTATTATCATATTATTATTATCAGTTTATTTCAATTATTAAACTGTTTTTATCTCAACCCACGAGTTTTTCTCACTTGTGCTCTTCCAATTCTCCCACCCATCCCACCGGGTGGGGGGGAGTGAGCGAGCGGCTGCGTGGTGCTTAGTTGCCGACTGAGGTTAAACCACGACAAAGCAGTACCTTGGGGTGTAGCAGTGAACACTGCTGCTAATTCCTCGAGTCATTACAGGAAGCTAACAGAGCAAGAATCAGTGAGTCAAGACCAGGTTGTAGAGCCTGCCAGCTCTGGGGCTAAACTCACTGATGCTTTGTTATTAAACCACACAAACTCTCAGCTGCATTTTGGAACTGGCTGACCAGGAGACTCCAAAATACTCCATCCTGCCAGCAAATATTAGGCCAGCAACCTACAGATACTATGGATTTTGACTACTTGCCAACCTATCCGGATCTAAGAGAGATGTGAAAAGGAAGAAAAGAGACAAAACAGGCCTGACCACATGTCCACACCTCTGTGGGCTCCATATCCCATTAAACAGGAGTTTCTTCTCCAAATCCCGCCCAAATCCCTACATGACTGCTGGGACAAAGGGCAGGAGAGCTCCAAAGCCAGGCTGCTCCATCAGCAGGTCCCTCTGTGAGAGATCCAGTAGGTCTAAGATCTCTGGGTAAAACAATCTACCGAGAGTGCAGGTGTTCCAAGGCACCCCATGAGACAAGCACATTATTAGCAGCTAAGCTCTGCTGCTGCACATGAATACTCCCAGGCTATCTATATACCATTATTTCAACAGATCATGGGCTCTTCTTTCATGCTAAAACCAAGGGACATGATACACATCATACCTATGCAGCCAAATGCTCTTCCACCTGCAATAGGTATGGTCATGCTCCTGTGCCATGGTAGCACCTGAATCATGCCTGGGCATTGCTGGGACAGGGCAAGTTGTCACAAGCCAAAAGTATGCCAGTTAGATTGCTAACAACTAAACAGTAGGGTTTATTCTGGGACAGTCCTTCAGCCTGTGGTCCAACCCTGGTTTCTTATGAGCATGGAGATAGCACCAATGACACAGTCAGACCAATCATGAGTACAAGGAGCTCAGCATTTCACAATGACAGATCCCTTAAGCAGACCCATGACAGGTAGATTCTTACAGATGAATAAATGCTGGAGAGAAAGCAGCTAAAGGACAAGCCCAAAGCCTCAGAGAGATTCAATGCTGGAAGTGAAACTGGGAAAGCAATTGGGAGAGAGATTCCTAGAAACCCTACCTTGTTTTCAAATCAAGAGGTCACAATAAGCTCAATGTGCTTAAAAATAGTATCATGCCTTCTACTTACTTTTCCTTCCTTATCACACGGGGTATGGATCTGGAAAAAGTCTTTGTTTGTGCATGGAGGACGCTCTATACATGCACTGGATCCCTCATCTAAAAAGAAAGGGTGAGGAACAGGATGTTAAACTATCAAATGCCCCCTGGAAACAACCATAATGAGCTTAAAATCTGGAGATTAAACTGAGTCAGAAAAAAAATACAAAATGAGAATGAAAAATCAAACTCTTAATGGAGCCTACATGAACCTTCCCCTGAACTGAAGGCGGGGAACATGGAAAACACCAGCTATGCTTGTACTGTCACACTGAAATTCATTGATTCAGTATAACCAGGGAGTCACCCAAACCCTTACGCCACCCCTTCACCTTCAAGCAGTAATTTGTGTAGTTTGCCAAGCACAGAAATATGTTCTCACTTGATAAGGAACAAAAACACTTTAACCCATTAGAAACTTCCTTACAACACCGGCCCAATTTTTTCTCTCCCCAGATATTTTTGCAAAACTCCCATTCCCATCCTGAGCACAGGCACAGGTCCCCAGTCATTTGCCATAGTCTCTGATAGCAGGTTCTGTGGTTGGTAACTGATTCTTCAAAAACTTATAAAACACCTACAAGGAAGAAAACTGAAGACATTTTGACCATGAAGAATGGATCTTGCATTACTGTGTTATTTGATGATCACCAGCTAACCACAGCTGGGAATGCAGAGGACTTTGGGGACTAGGGTTTGCAACTAGAACACTACATCTTCTAACTGCACAGGAGGCAGGGACGGGCCAGGAGAGGATTTTGAAAGGAGATTCCCAGAAACATGACAAGTCTGAAGGCAGTGATGAAGCCAATTCAGGTCACTGCCAACCAATAACAAAAATTACCACGAGAGGGCACAGCACGACTGTTATTATCCTTTAGAACTGTTCCCTTTGAGGTCATAAAGATCTCCATCCCTTCATGTTAGCATAGATGACCTTAGCCAAGGTCGATTGTGGCCCATTATGTATATATGTGCCCTCTGCAGCTTTTGGAAAGCCCCATCTTCTTTTCCCCTATGCATATCAACTCGAGACTAAACTTCATTGTTGGATAAAACCATTCTCACATCTGCACACAGGAACAGCTTATAACCTTACGTACTCAGACTCTCCTGGTTTTGCTTAACCCATTTGATTTATGTACCTGCATAATACATTTCTTCTTTACACTTGGTGCACTCTTTAGCTCCTTTCTCAGAATAAGTATTTCTTGGACACACCTGGCACCCAGATGAACCTGGTTTGTTGCTGAAGGTGCCAGGCTTGCATGCGAAGCATTCAGACGTATATGCAACTCCTGTAAGGTAAATTACAGATAAAGCACTGAAATACAGAGAGGTATGCTCCATAACTACTGCCCACCTGCTTATGGGGGAAAGCAAGCCAGCTGGGTAACACAGCTTAAAAATCACAGGCTTTCACCACTTTAGACACTTTGGCTTTGCTGACTCTTGATTTAGGTCTTTGCTCTTCAGTGCAAGTCTGGCCCATGTAAGAACCTTATATGACACTCCAAGTTTGATTACACTTAGAACAAGATCAAAAGAGCAATCCCAGATTAATTAAATTATTTAAATAGTAATTTAACTGTCACTGTTGTGAAATATACATCCATTTATCACTGTTGAGAGGCTTACCAATAAGCATGGTCTTGCTATACTACATTAAAGAAAACCTGTTTATTCCTTTTTCTCTCTATTTGCTAAGGCAGTCTTCTCCAGTAGAAGGCACCATTTACCAGCTAAATTAATTTTTCAGCCTTTCCCTGACTGGAGTTTTGCTGTTCTGTTTCTGCACTTTAGAGGAGGAGACAGGGGACAAGGGGGCTAAAAAAGCTACTTGGTGCTGTAGGCACACCAGTAGAAATGGCACTTGGCAAACACTGTGACCAAAGAGTGAGATAAGTCCTAAGCGGCAAATATCACTTACCTTCAATTGTAATGTTTTTCACCAGAACTGGTTTTACTACTTTGGAGCCCATGAGAATCCCTGTTGTTCTCCAGTATAATATATTGCTACCTGATTTCAGAGTTACCTGCAACAATATGCATGACAGTTAGCGGGCATCCCCTCACCAAGAAACTGTTTTATTTCTTATTTCCATTACTCAGATTTCTTGAATCCTCGCAGCAATCCTGGCTTTTCCTAAGCTGCTTAGTGAGTCAAGAAGTAAAGGGGACACAGCTACACAGATGCTGGAGAGACATCTCTGAGGAGTGCCACAGTGGGTTTAGTGGGTTTAATAAAAAAAGCTGCTCGACACCCCAGTTTTATGGAAAAACACCAAGAGCTGCTTCTGACTTTGCTGTAAGTGGAACTGGGAAAAAGCTGTTCCTGCTTTTATCCAGCTACCCCTGGCACCCAGGAGCTTTTATCTCTAGCTTTATGTTCAGATACAGTCAATCAGTTTGTTTTTAAAGCCTTGAGATACACTTTTATAAAGAAACCCAACACAACCCAGAGTTCAAAAATCCAGGCTCAGAAGTGAGTTTTGTTTATAGGCTTTAAAAATCAAGCTCTGCCTGCATCTAACACTACAGCATCATGATCAGTAAGCCAGGCACAAACCATGAATATCCCCAGCAGCAGTCCTATCCCTCCTGCTCATTTCTGACCCCAAGCAGCAGATGATATGCAGAAAACAACTCAGTTTCCAACTGCTTTGACCTACTTGCCTTCACATCATGGCTCAGCATAACCCCTGTGCTGGCACAGGAAGGGTGGTGGGTTGGTGGTATCATGGCTGGGATAAGGAGGAGGAGGAAGGCAGGAACACTTCTTTCAGCAGCAGTGTTGATGCCTGCTGCCTTCAACTCACCTGTGTAACTACAGTATCACTCTACTTACTAAAAGCAGCAGGTTTACCAAGACCCTGCCTGGCCTGCAAAGCTGTACCATATCTACTAGCCCAGTACAAGATGCCTACTGCCAACACAGTGATACTGGCCTGCAGGTGCTATATTTTCACACAAGAAGAGGCATAAACTCTACCTGCATAATGGCCCAGGATAATGAGATTTACAGCAGTACTGTACACTCCTGGCAGGATGACACTTTTTGTTCACCCAGCATAGAGACCAAAAATTCAGCAAAGCGGAGATACAGCATATTGCATCTCCCACTCCCCAAACACATACTATCCCGGGGGGCAGAGGAGAGCTGGGTTACCACAGGTAACAGCAGAACTGCGACTATATTGAATCAAACATCATGTTGTGTGGTGTAGAGATACCCAACATCAGCTCTGGTGCTGAAAGCAGAGGCTGCAGCAACTGGAAAATTGGGCTCAGAGAAGCCACCCTGATAGGATTTGCAATGCAGACAAAAGCCTCGAGGAGAGCCAGAACAGTCATCTCACCTACCTCGTGTGTCTACATTTCAGCCAGGCATCCAAGCAACCTTCGTAGTCAGTGGAGACACTTGCACATCCCAGCTGATGAGCTCAGATGGCACCATCTCCCATGCAGACACTGTCTACATCTCTCAGCTCACCCAAGTCGATGCCCTGGCCTTGGACCTACCCCTCAGCCCATGCCACTCACGCCTCCTCACCCAGCTCTCCTGCCTCCCAAAGTGACTCACGTGGGGCTTGCACCTGAGCTAACAGGCACTGCCAACCAGAGCTGGCTCGGGAATACAGTTTCTCCTCCAGGGGCATAAGCAGACCATGGAAAACAGAGACCAGGCTGCTGTCTATGCCAAAAGAAAGCCTTTTCTTCTGGCATAATGCCACCTATGCTAGGCCTTTGCTGGCATGGCTCTGGGAATTAGGGTATGGTGGTATAGTGGAAACCAGGCATCAGCATGAGATTATGAGTTGGTCTACACATGGCCCGTGCACCAAACAAACTCAGCCAGCTGGGTCACAGGCCAGCCAAAGGGCTGCCGCTCCCAACGTGGACATGCTTCTATCAGTGCTGCGGGAGCCACCCTGGTGCTGACAGCTTTTCAACCAGGTAAGTCACACCGGAGCACAAGCTGGGTGCAGTCCAGCTCTTCAGCACACATTTGAGAATAAAATGCCCGTCCTACCTGCCTCCATATACACACACCGCTCGCACCACTCTGCTGAGCAACAGGGAATAATCTCATGCTCTCATGAGCAAACAACTGTTGTAGAAGATTTCAATTATAATCATGCAGAGTGACTGGCATGCGGATTTGCATAAATCTATTTAACTTCATAAAGCACTTGATTCAAAGCCCAGGAAAATCAATACAAAGTCTTGCAACTATATAATTTGCTTTGGGATCAGCCCCTTAGAGATCTCAGTGGCTTTGCCCACAATACTAGGCAAGCTGGGCTTCTTCAGATGCATTCACAGGATCTGGCCCTTGTTTGTTCTGTGCTCAGAGGAAATCACAGACATTTATAAATGAAAAAAAGCTTCATGAAGGAATTTTTTGCACACTTACAGAATGAGAGCCCCATTCCCCATTGTCTGTTAGCTTCACCCACTTGTCTGCCGTGGACTCCATCTCTTTGCACTGGTCATTTTGTATCTGTTAATTAAAAACGGAAGATCAGTGAGCATAATCAGATGCATCTCTCTACCAGCATAATGACTGCTGGCAGGGAATGATAAGATTCAGCTTTGTTCCTGTTGTCTACATATTTAGGACAGCAGCTGCCTTATTTGTGGGGAAAAAAACCCAACAACTTTCAAAACCTGCTAGCAGCTTAGCAGTGCCTCCAATGACCACCTCTGATGCAGATGGAAAAAAAGAGCAGGAGGAGAAGATCTCAGCCTTGTCTTCTCGCTATCTGGTCAGACTCGGATGCTGAGCATCTTGTCTTAGCTGCCTCCTCCTTCTCCTGAGCCCACCAAGACCCAATTCTCTAAATTCCAAAGGCCAATCAAAAGCCAAGGGCTTCTGAGTCAGAGAGAAGGTAGGAGTGGACGGGTCAAAGCTAGAGCTAGAAGACAAACTGCTTTCTCTGCAGCCAATATCTGCTATGTCTTTGGCTCCCTGCCACCTGACCTCACTAGGGATGAGAGTAACGTTATCAAGGGAGAGGCAACATGCCATGGAGAGTCTGCCCTGGCAGAAGTGTGAGGTTGATTGTCCTTCGCCCAGGTCCAGCACAGCTCAGCAGCCTTTCCTTGCAGTAGGGTTTGGTGCATGGCCTCACAGCGGTCCACTTCTTTCTTCTCATAACTGTCTTCTCTGAAGAAAAAGTATTAAGTCCCTTTGAGGCAGAAGTTCAATTACTCAGCTTTTATTCCACCAGGGAGAAAGGCCAGTTCAACACTTTCAGAAGACCTGGGGTCAAGCATCCTCCTCAAAGTTGCTCCATGTCAAGACTGGTCGCATAACCTCACAGCCTTCAAAGCATCTGTGCATTTAATTCCCATCTAGATCAAAAGCACTGAGGAAAAGAGGTGAGAAGAAGCACCTAAGTATAAGGTAGATCCCTAATTATCTTGTGCAATCTGAGCTACAGCGTCTTTGTGCCTCAGTTCCCATCTGCAAAAAGGAGATAAGAATATATAGTCTCTTCTCACAAGGTGTAAAGGGCTTCAATATATAAAAAGAGCCTGGGAAGGACAGGCTGCAAGAAGCACTGGGTATCTAACAAGAAGCATCCACACTTACTTCCCATGTTTGAGGACATCTCCTTGCTTACCCTCAGACTGGCAGTGCAGCCACCTGCGCCTGGAGAGCCCAAAAACTTCACCATTTCCCAGCAGCCTGCAAGCCACTGTCACTGAAATGTCACTGTCCAGAGCTCAAGTGTCATTGTTAAATATATTTAAGCACAAAGACATGCTGGAGAAACAAAATGGACTTTTAGAGGATTGTTAAATATGGTTTCCCTGCAATACTGAGGCTGACTAGGAATTATTTACATGAGCATTTCTATGAAGGACTGCACCACTCACTGCTTCTTGAACAGGGAATGATAAATTTAAGGTGAATGAGTGGGATATGGATAAAAGTAATATTCAAAAAGCCATTTTCAAAGCCAGTTCTCAGAGAAACAATATATTTGCTCCATTGCAGGAGTAGATCAGTCAGTCAGTCAAGCAACTGGAGCTAGAATTCATCATCCTGGTACATTCATCTGACAGCAGAAAGCATATTTGCTGCTTTCTCCCCATGAAGAAGGCAGATGGTCTAATATAAAAGTGAAATGGTTAAATATTATTGCCTGCACTGTCTGTTATCAAAGTGCAATAGATTGCACTGATGTAGCAGCAAGAGGGTGCCTCCAGCAGGTTATTTTTGTCTTCCTTTCCCATCTTTACTAAGGATAAGGATACTTCACACTTTTCTCCGAGCTTCAAGAAACATTAACCAACACCAGCTAAGGCTTCGCACTTCTGTGAGATACCACGAGCTGTGTTTTTCAGATGAAAACCAGAGCTCACCGGACAGGGAGAGAGGCAGTAACAGAGGAGGTTGAAAAATTCCAGTCATCTCCTGCTCTGAGTTGCTCTCTCATTAAGTTTTTTTCTGTCCCAAATGGCAGATACAACATGCCAGAGAAAGCAACCTGTTGGTGAAACCTTACAAAGCATCTCGGTGACGTGGAGCATCTGCACCACACTGCAGAGCTTGGTGCTGGCAACCCCCTGCTCCTTGGACCCCAACCAGTCCATCCACGTGGGCTGTCCTTCCCATTCGGGTCCCTGCTGATCAGACTGTTTTAGTAATTTGGGTACAGCGTGGTGCAAGCCCAGCCAGGCTGCTCGCATTTCAGAGCTAATGACCCCCAATCCCTCCATTTCACAGTGTGGATGTGTCCTCAGAGCCTATTTCCTACTGAAAGTCATCTGAATTTTTACTCCTAAATCTCTTTGGAGAACTGTTGTTTCTGGGTTGTTTGTTTTGTTTTGTTTTGTTTTAAGGATCACCCTTTTGTCTCTTCTCCTGCTTTTCTTTTCATCTTAATTGCTACAACCTAAATTGACCTAAAACTAAAGCTAACGTTTCCACATACTAATACCTTGGAGCACCTCAGGTTCTGGATGTCTACTTTTGAAGAAGTCTTTTTAAACGTCAAGTCCCTTCAAAGGCATCTCAAGTCAAACACCCCCAAAATGAAGCATCTACCACCAACAGTTGTCTCATTAAAGGCCGGGCTAACGGGGGCAGTGATGACCCCCAATGGAAAAATCCCAGTGCATGGTAGAAAGGATCGGTTTAGCATGACTTTTGAAGCTGAAATATGCCAAAAGGCAGCATAAATGACAGAACGAGAAGATGATTTTTTTTATCTTGCTCAGCAATAACAAGCTATGAACATGTGGGTAATGTAAAGGGAGGAAAAAGCTGTTTCAAATGGTCTTTTTCTGGATTGAATTTTTACAATATAAGGTTGGATTGACCACATAAAAGGCCTTACAAAAAATTCAAAGAAGATGTTGTTGTCAATATACTGGTATTCGAAGAAGACAGAACCGGATTTCTTCAGGTGCACAGCATAGATGAGTGAAACTGTACAATCATCCCTGTTCGACTCTATGTAATTCCCTCGAGGCGTCCACGAAGAGCTGATGAACACAAACAAAACAAGCCTCAGCTGAGATCACAGACACTGAGGAGACTTTTCTTACACTACATGTTACTTAATAAAGAACCCAGAATCCCACAATAGATAACTGCTGTGAATTTATAACTTTATTACTGGATTCCCATATATTAATGTAAATATAATACTTTTCATTAAAACCGTGCATGGGAAAAGATATGGTACTAGAAATTTAGGACCCAGCCTACATAGGAAAGGTTTATTATCCATAGGTTCAACATACTTTCAATTATACTCACGAACAGCCTTCTGCAACCACCATGGGTCTCTAAATAGGCTGTGAAAGTACCTTTTAGCCACGTTTACCATACCACGATCCTGGAGCTTTCCAGCTACAAATAAGAGCAGCTCCAGGCTGGCCTTAGACTCACTAGCTGCTGATGAGACCAAGGAGACCATGGTGATGGCAAAGAGGTGGCAAAAAATTTTGCTTTCCAGCCACTCTTGTTTGCCATTACTAGGGCTGGTTACCCTCTGGAGAGCTTAGATGAGTCATTAAGCCGGCTTTGTGCTGCTGAGCTGTCTCAGGTTTACCCATGGCTGCGTAACCCAGATGCAAACAGAACTTCTTACTTGTTGCAGCTGTCGGCTTTATTCTCAGCTGAGCCAACCGCCGTGTCCATGAAAGTCGCCACGTTGGAGAATCCTGCCGGCAGCTCATCCCACTCGTCAAACTTGATCCCACTGCCCAGCGAGTAGGTCCCTTCTGCACATTTGCTGCACACCTGGTTCTTCATCTCCAGGTACTCGCCAGAGGCACAGGAGAAAGCTGGGGAGACAATCATTTCCAACATATGAATGGAGAAATTTATCCCAATTAATTTCCTTTTTTTTTTTTGCCGCTTAATTAATTAAAAGTGAACTGTCATTAGAGGAATGCCCCAGCCCCAGGAACACAAAAGCTGAACTACTAACATCGGCTACAAAATTGAGATGTTCACCAGTGCCTGTTTTTTCACCAACACAGCAGCACTGAAACCAAATCTCAGACGACGGCTCCTGATTTGCAGCTTGTCTCCATTGGCAAAACAAGATTTCAGAAACGAAATGTCTACCCACAGACTGTCCAAAAGCAATTTGTGAAAATGAGGACTTGTAATACACTTCTCCTCACCTTTGCTCACCTGCTTGTTACACCTTGAACTCAATTAAAATCACCAGCACCTGAGAGCCAGAGCAGACTTGTCTCACCCACCTGTATGGTAGCTAAGAAGAGTGCACAGCAGCACACTGACTGTAATATAACACTACAAAACTCAGCTGAGAGTTGCAGACCTAATCCAAGGCTCTCTCCACATTTGCCCTCACATGGGCTGCCTACAAAGCCTTGAACGTCTTGCCTGATAGACCAGGTAGTCTTGGAAAAGATCACCAACGGGCCTGTGTCTTGCAAATGGTGATCTTTGACTGGGGTGATATTAGCATGCTGAGAAAATAAACACTGGTTGCCAGCACAGCAAAGACAGTACTCAAACATATGTAACTAGGGAAAGTATAATTTAGAAGGAATGTTCATAAAGTGATTTTTTTACTGATGTTTTTAAAATTATTTTCTCCTAGTAACTATATATCCCTTGTTCCAGTCTGATCACATCTCTACCTGCTAAGGGAAGAATACTCCCATTATACAGAGGAAACCTGGAGAGCAGTTGAAGTCCTGTATGCCCACAGAGCCCCATGTCTGTGTCAGGAATCGTAACTCCTGCCCGGATGCTCATTTCAAGGGCAGACCATCCCGCTTTCCCCCAGCCCCATGCTGTACCATGTCCTCTCTGAGACTGAACATCCTGGATGGAAAACAAATGAGTGCTTTCTGCAGAACATAATATTTCCTACGTTGCTTGCAGATTTTTAAACTTAACTGTGCCAGTCTAGCCAAAGCAGGATTCAGAGCAATGCACACAACTTGCATCCCAAGAAATGGTGGGATTTTTTACTGTTTCATGCATGCCACATTGTGCAGTGACAGATATTTCATACACTCACTTTGACAGACATAAACTCACTAGCCTGAGAAACTGTAGGACGAGACCAGACTGCTAGCCAAATGGTGAAACTGGCCCAAAACAACTCATGCCATTTGAAGTCCCAGCATATGCAGTTTTATAGATGTGCTGATGTTTATCTAACTGCAGAAAAACTTGTTTGACTGTGAGTACTTTGCTAAAGATGGGGCTGTGTAACACTAATTTCCATCTGAATCCAACTGCAGTTCAGGCTCCCATTTCTGTGCTGGATCCCGCAGCACTTTTTTGTGTAATTGTCCTTGATGGGCAGCACTGGAATGCAGATAAAAGGTCCATTTTGATGGAAAGATCTGCCAAAGGGACATTTTTCCCTCTTGGTCTGATCAGCATACTCTGAATTTGAACCAGTGGACTTCAAGCCAACAAATCCGTTTTTCTAACCCCATCACTCACTGGTGATGGACCAAGAAAGAAAGTGGGCAGGAGCCTAGCAGGGACGGGTGCTGGGGTGGGTGTATATAAGGAAATTCTGCCACAACAGATTTCCGTGAAAGACTGACAGACAGGCAAAAAATCCACCCTCAGTGGGGGCAAGGGGTTTTCTGTTGGCAGTGGCACATGGTAGAGTGGTACGGCTAACATCCCATCTGTCTACCTCTGCGACCTCACTCAAGCCATAGGATGTACCTGCAGCTGAGGTCAGAAGCACAGCTTTTTTCAGAGACCCGGAGAAAAGTCGCGAGCACTTCCCCATGTGTCTGAACTGAGACCACATGTTGTACAGCTTTTCACCTTAAATGCATACAGGTGTCCTGACTCATTGCTTTAGCACTATTAATTAATCCTGCTTTTTTTTTTTCTTTTGAAGGGTGCAGAGAGAAGCCATCAGGAAGGGAAGTAAAAAAGCAAGCTCTCTCATGACATATTCAAATCCTTTAACAGTTTCAACTTTTTTTTTTAAGAAAGTTAAATAGCAAGAAATGGAGAGTGCTGCCTAACCACACGTTCCAGATTTGTGAATTTCAAATAAGGAGTCAGTAACTGTGAGCAATTCGCTGCCATAATGAAGATGCAGAAGGCAGCAGAGCTTCCTCTTCCATTACAGTGAGGTTGAGCAGAGATTATTGCTTTAACCGGACTAATATCCTTTAACTCCTTGCAACCTGATCATTTTAGGGAATAAGATGGTACAAGAAATGAGGCAGGCTGCCATGCAGGACACTGCCATCCATCGCTCACCCTCCAGGAGAGAGATAAGCCTTTTTCTTATTTACGTGAGGAATTATCTTCTTTCCCTTTTCTAAGAATTGTATTTCAAAGGCAGCAGCATTTCCCGTCAAAACACATACATCTGTAAGCAAACTAGCTCCGAGCATGCCAGCTGCTTGCCAGGTTCAATTTGGGGCTGAATGTGGCTAATAGCAACACAAACCACTTTCGACATTGGAACAGATGCATCATTTGGTCTCGTTCCAGGCAGTCGGGAGCGGCTGGAAGGGGATGGGGAGGAAACACAGTGTGTGATGAGCACGGAGATGGTCTCCTCTCCTAGTGTCACACAACTTGCTCTTCCAGCAAGGGACCAAAAGCCAGGCCAATCCCTCTTTAATCTAAATGGCATCAATTCAGGAGTCCATCCCAGCTGGAGACAGGCAGGTTGTGGCCATGCCCAGAGACCCTGCAGAGCAGATGTCCCCTGCCATGGGCCAGGAGGCACTTGCCCGGGGTGGGGACAGGGCACAAACAGACGATCCGTCCCGGGGCACTGGCGCTTTGCCTTGCTCGTGGCTGCTCCATCTCACCAAGACATAGCTGAGCACAGATCCAGCGCTGACTAGCGACTGCTTGTCCACAGAAACGGTTGACATTATCACAGCACCGCTGTGTTTGTGGGGGTGACACATGCAAGGTGCTGTCAACAGGAAGGACAGCATCACCACATAGGAGGATAAGGAGCGATGTGAAGTTTTGGGAATCTAAATCATATATTTTAGGTGTGTGCTCTGATTCGTCTTCCACTAAACCCTCCCTCTTGCTTCAGACTCCAGAGGGAAAATTAGTCCCCCGGCTTAGAGGTAGCCTTTGTGAACGCTACCTGCCCCCAACCCCAGAGCCCATTTGTTTAAGCATTTGATACTTAATTTTCAGAGAAAACATCTCTGTCGAATAACTCCTTACATGTCTACCCTGGTTCAGAAAACAGAACTAAGGCTGCTAAATCACGTAGACAATTCTGAAAATCTTTTCCAGAATTGACACTATTGATTCTGTTTGGACATCACTATTCCCCTCCCTCTCAACTGCAAACTTTCCTATTACACCTTTCAAATATCAGTTTGGGTGCTACACACCAACTTACACAGAGCAACGCACATTGTGAAGACTGAATTTGACCTTCTTTCTTTCTATGAAAAAAAACTGAAACGCATTAAAAGGTTTCATGGCTTGCCCCATCATGGGCATTTTTGAAACTGGGAGAACATTTTCAGAGGCAGTTAGGAACAGCATGACATACTGTGGTGCTGGATACACTGATGCCTTCAGTAGCTCCAGTGAAGTCGATGCAATTATTGGTGATTTGCAGCTGTAGCTTCTTAAAATAAATACAGAAGAAAAAAAAATATTGTGGTTTGTACAGGCGATCAGTCTTCGTCACAAAAGATGCTGTAAAGTACTGTTAGACAGACACTGCCACAGGCAGCCACACACATTCATACATGCATGCAATAAAGCTGACACCGGATTCACTTCATAGAAGATTAACAAGAACTACTGTACTAATACCCACCGAAACCATTGTATAAGTCTTGTCAAACAGACACCATTTCATTCTTTAAAAGGATTACAGGTCACTTGATAAAGGTGACTGAGTGGATGTAATAGACTTAGGGTTTCTAATACAGTTAACTTAGTTTTGCATGTCATTCTGATGAGGAAGGTAGTATCACACAACACCAGTAAGGCACATCTTAAATGGATTAAGAACTGCCTGAGTAACAGATCTCAGACAGGGCTGTTGGTGGGAAACCATCACTGAGCAGGGAGGAAGGGGGCAGTTCTGGCTGCCCCGGGACTGAGTCTGATGGCTGTCCACATTTTTATCAACAATCTGCAGGCAAATAGAAAAGGAACGGTATTAAAATTGGCGGGTAAGAGACTGTTGTCAAGCCTGAGCCCACTCAAAATCAGTGTGTTTTAACAGAGTCGAAGGTAAAGACAAGCCATGGAAGGCAAGGAGTGTCAGCCCTGCCTGCAGAAGGCTGAAACGTATCCTGGAGAGCAGCAAGCCTGAGGGTCGGAGTGGACCCGTCGTTCATCAAAAGATTCCACTGGCAAGACATGCAAAAAGGCGCTAGTGAGATCTGTGGATGTATTTAGTGGTAGAGGTAGAGATGTGTGGGGTGAAACGTGTGTGTTACAGGCAAAATCATTCTAATATTGAATGTAGTTGTGATTCAGCATCTTTAAGAGGTCAATGCAAAACAAAAGGACTTTAAATGCTTTTAAAATTAGGAGTAATGTCTTGTAGTGAGAGATTTGAAGTGCTTAGTCTATTTAGTTTATCAAAAGAAGACTGAGAGTCGACTTGATTAATATATAAGCATCTCCAGGGGGAGAAAACACAGGATCCCACTGGACTCTTTAATCAAGCAGAGAACTGCATAAGAAGAACTACCTTCTGGAAGCTGAACCCAGACAAATTCAGATTGGAAATAACACACACATTTTTACTATGAAGAACAACGGATTGCTGGAATAATCTGTCAAGCATGTGACGGACCCTTTGTCTCTCAAGTGCTTC